CCTTGGCTGGCATAACCTTTTCCATGGCGCCAAGCGTTTGCATGACCTCAACCTGACAATTTCAGTGTAAATCGAACAAACCTCAGGCACCTCTCGTTATTCAAAGCATAGGCACTCAGCTAGCACGTCTGATGGGTCTACATCCATACTAGTATCGATCTTGGAAGAGCGAACCCGGTCGTCGTTTTTTGCTGTAAGGATTGCGTAGAGTCGTTTCATTGCCAAGAGCACATTGTCGTATAGGTCATGCCAACTGACAGCTCAACGCCCACGCCGCAGAGGCACATGCTCTGCGTTTTCAACGTCGTCTCATCGCCCTCCGACTGCGCAACTTCCAGTGAACGAGTAGCTCAAACACTTCGAGTCTCGCTCGTCGTTGCTCGTTCCTCAGAGGCTTGTTGTCTGCTTATCTGAAGCATCTCTCCCACACGTTGTTGCCCTATCAGTAGCTGATACCGCACTACCGAGCCAAATATCCATGAAATTTGGGTCTGACTGATCAGGATTTCGCTCGGCGGATCCGGTTGATATTAGGAATGCCAGAGAAAGTTCCTCAACCCCTGACATAAAGAGTCTCCAGCTTATCGAAGATGATAGCAATCTGGGCAGCGGTGACACTACGCGTACTCCGGGAACTCTCTTATATCATTCACGTCTTCCTAGGCAGAATGCATCTAAGCATGACCGTTATATGATAGCTCATGTTCTGGGTTAGATGAGCCCGCTGGACCACAGACTTCAGCGAATCGATCTGTCTACCAGCAGCCCTACACTGAAATGATCGGAAGAAGTCTCCTCCAGTACACATCGGGCATGACATGTCATAGACCCAAGACATACGCCTATAGAAGCCGTACCAACAGGTAGGATGCTCCGAGATGGATACATTGTTGACACCGGTGTGGACGAGCCAATTGCTTATCGACACTGTGAGAGAGGTGGGATGTTGCTGTTTGTTTGTGATAACATTGTAATCGAACACTCAGGTTTTGATAAGGTAACAATTAGAGAGGATGGATCTGTTGAAGCTGCCATACCGGTCGTCGTGGCAAATGCTGATTTCAAAGACGAGGTTGAAGTCCTGTAAGTTAAGATTCGCAGTCGCCTATTCTGGACAATAGAAGTATCAGGTATACAGCCAACCGTTTGATACCCGGAATAGAGCCATGTACCGAAGTGAGAATAGTCTTGAAGGCCACCCAGTTGGCTCTGGAAGAGGACGCACACAAGTCTGGCGGGCTGACACTGGTGAGAACTCCCTGGGCCCAGCACTGCTGGCCTAACAGCGGCACCTTCATTATGGAGTCCACAGTGTGAATGCTCCCTGTTCAGACAATCTCCCTCGAAGATCTTTCATGGCGTCATCTTATCTTGCCACGCCAAGACGGACACCCCTTCATTTTCACCACACTCATCGTCCTTGGCGAGCACAGGTTCGTGCTGTGCATTCTCCAGGAAAGATCCATCGTATGCCCTAGAGCGTAGGAGAGCGTTATCACTGTACCCTGTTCAGGTTAGGATAGCCCTCACGTCTGCTGATAGTCGGCTGCTTTTATGGCAGGGAGTAGTCATGTACTCGGCGCAAGATGTCCACCCCTCCGAATTCCGAGCACCGTGAGTTGTCGACGCCAGCGCTTACCGGATTTATCCGTATGCATCTGCCGAAGGTATCCCTCAGTGGATGAAGACCGTGTGGCAATACTAAGCTGGTTTACATCGTCACCTCAATGTTTTCAGTCGGTAAGTGACTGAATCACCGTCTATGTTCTCGTCACAGCATCCACACACTTCATTCTCTACCAATTTCCTACGCCGCTAAAGGAATGCTGTCTGACACGGGTCACAAATACTTGATATTTTCATCGTATACAAAGCTCTTCTGGGAAGCAATTTAACGCGAGCGGTCTTTCTCACTACTGCGTCACCAGAAACTGTCAATGGTGGATGTGAGCCTTGAGTCAAGGACCCTCGTATCTAGACGCGATCTTGGAACGTCTTATTCCCGGCCGCTCAGGCATCCTGCGCTTCCGGCGGAGCCTTTGGAGGTGAATCATTCAGGAGAAATGAGCATGGTATTCCTTGTTCGATCATGTCGAATGGATCCCGGCTGCCGTTGGGCTTCAGGCGACTCCATACGCCTCATACATCGCGTGACGCGTAGTTTCAATGGAGGCAATACCACTGCGATTCTGAGCTTGTAAGGCTGGCTACCATCGTTTATCGACACTTTCTGCATTGATTTATGTGCCAGCACGGATCTCTAACGCTTAGAGCTGTTGAAACAAGGCCTTGGAATTGAAAAACAAATATAATTGTTTTTTTACGCCTTCCCGTAGGTGCTCGGAGGAAGTTTCTGGAGATTTCGTAGTTAAGTGTCATACCGACGATGGGCGGGAGTTCCATCTGATCATCAATCAGACTGAAACCATCAAAGAGGCCGTCACTTACATACTCGGAGGCATCCGGCCGATTCGAAATCTGCCCGCAGGTTTCACTATTTATACTTTTTCAGAGTCTCCCGGAGGCTGGAGGAGTTTCACTGCCGGTCAAAGAAAAGAATTCGGGAATCTCCTTCTGTCACACGGGATCACTGTAGCGACTCCACCGCGCTCAGCCGATGGAACTATCACTCTCCGTAGTTGGATCCAATAGGGCGGGACAGACTTCAATTCCATCCAAGCCTATTGAAGGCTGAGCTAACTAGAAGGACGACGCATATGAATGTAGATACAAAAGGCTCTGCTATCAGCTAAATGCATCATACGACAACGCTTCAACGATCTGAGGCTTCGCGACTGGCTAATCCTTGTCCCGTTCAGGTTGCCGATCCGAATCAGGACGTTGCCGGAGAAGCGCTGGCATCGGCCGTGCGACGCGTAAGACTGACAGACGGAAGAAGCAGCTCTGTTTTGGTAGAACTCTTTGAGGGGTGTTCTGAACAGAACACGCAGGTAAGCTGGGATGTTTCAGTTGTCGTTAGGTGTACCCGGATGCTGTGCTTGCTCATGGTTAGTCGTTCCTTATCGATCGTATTTTCTCACTGGTGGGAAATTGCGTTTCCTCACCACAAAATGGCCAACTATACAGAATGGATGTGCTCTCAGGCATTTCATGTGATAAACTATACCATCAGGGTCAGAGAGTTAAGCCCAGATGACGATGTTCCGATTCGGACTTTGCTTGTTAAAGATGTGAGGCTGTGGTGCCTGAGTCCGCTGTTCTCCGACTTCCCTCACATCTATAATGAATGTTCCTCTGCCAAGCGGATATTTTCTCTCTGTGTTTTGCTATCCGTAGTTCGAGCTAGAGATGGATGCCTGTCAGATCCACGACACCGACCTCGTCCATTGGTTGTCGATTTACTCACAAGAAGGCCTTCTTTCGGCGGTCAATGCCCCTCAGCTCGAAGCTGCGATCGTATCGCAGTTCAATCTTGATGGTGCCGTAAGTGATCTATCCTCGATCCAGGATGCCACTGCGCTATTTGATGGTCATCCACATGAGTCTGGTATATCTTTCAATTCGTAGTGCTAATCTATCGTAGCATCTACATGACGTATGGGTGTCGTTTCCAGTATTTTAATGTTGTGTCGCTCAGTTTAAAAGGAGTTGAAGGAATTTCAGTTAGGTGTTGAGCACCTACTTGGCCAAGTGCCTTCTTATGAGCTTGCGCAGTTTCCAGTGCATATTGTAGACTGGCACCAGTATCGCCCACTATTTATCGTGTACATGTTGGAAAGATGCTAACTTTTGCTGAAAGATGCCAATGCTAACTATATTGCACGAGAAATGTGCCGGCTCGGCAGTGCCATAGTAACTGTGAATGCATACTGTATAGTGGGTGCATCCCGGGCCTTTGTCAACATGTACAAGGTTCAACGACATGATTCATGTCACATGAGAAGTGTACAAATTCATCGAGGATTCAACTCGCGGCCTTTCAGTCGTGTAAACCCACACTCCGCGAGCACAACAAGAACAGGACATAAGAAACGTGTGGACGTAGTGGATTTGCTGAGGAACAATGCCGCAGTGTACAGTTAGGTAATCAACGTTGTGCAGTGGTAGGCTAGTAGCACGATCGCCCTATATCATCATGATCATCGACGTCCCCGCCCTTTCCCTCCTGAAAGCATCACCTCATTAGTAGATCAACAATATGACAGTTGCAAGCTCACCACTGTTGCCACCAACGGCGAAGGATCTCCTCGGTGCACCACGCTGGGCGAATTTCTCAGCCTGTTTCGCTCGGAAGGCAGCCTGCATAGGATACAGTGAAGGAGTGGAGGCTCGAGCGGAGGAGGATACCCACCTTGCTCTTAGTTGCGAAAGCCTTTCTCCTCTTGGGGTCCTGCATAATCTTCGTCATGGTCTTCTTCTTCCGATTCTTAGCGATCCTAACAATCGATTCGGTCAATCACATAAGACAGTCTACTGCGGTTGGAGCATTCGCGTACTGGCTGGCACGCAGGAGCTCATCCTTAGCGTTGTCGCCTCTCGACGTCACGCCAACCCGATTCATCACTCTATCTTGCTTCGCGAGATGCCGTTTCTGCTTATTCGTGAGAAACCTGTCAGACCATTAGAGTGAGCAGACGGGAGAGAGGGAATCGGCTACTCTTTCTGGACTTCGCCGTGGAACTCCTTCACCATCCTCGCTCCCCCAGCTGAGCCTGCCCGATCCTCTCCACCATCCTCGTGGTCACTCTCAATGGTGATCGCCTTCTTCGGCGCCGTGAACGCTGTATTCTGTAATCGACGATCTTAGCTCATTTCTCCATGCGTAGTAACTCTGACCTGCTTATCCTCAAGCTCTCCAACTTTTTGTATCCTCTTGTGACTCGACTTCAACCATTTAGAGTATATGTCGCTCTTCTCCATCTCGCCGCTCACCAACTAACATCAGCGATATCCATAACACCGCATCACTGACAATTACCTTGCCAGCCTCATTACGTCGCTTCCTAGATGCAATCGGAGCTCCACCATCACCAGCGACCATCACTGGAAGATACCTGTTCATTTCGACCTCGTGAAGAAAGTAGGGACATCGACAGCTCACTTCTTCTTCTTTGCGTCCCATCGCATAACGCTCTTCGCCTTAGTCATTGACTCTCGATCATCAGGTACCAAGTCCAACTGGGCCTTCTCAATATCCAACTGCTTCTCCCTCTCCTCAGCCTCAATAGACTCTGGGTCGGCATCAACGGAGCCTGAAGGGTAGTTGATATGCCAAGGACGAGCTGAGAAAGTGTCATCTTACCAAGATAGAACTCATTAGATCGACACGTCGTCTGGTTGAATACACTCACACCCTCCTCCAAGTGATAAGAGGACTTCTTCCTCCCGTCGACCTCTTCCCCGGGCTGCGGCAGACCACCTGAACACCAGTCTTTCAAGGGGTCAAGAATACACCCACCAACTCACCGCCCTTCTCGAGCTTCTTCCTAGCTCTCTTACTGAGCCTGTGGGTCTGTCTATCAGCTTGTTGGGGGATAGGCAATGACCTCTTCTCACCAGCTTGCGCAACTTCAACCTATACACACACAGTGAGGACGAAATGCTGCAAAGATCGATACGTTCTCGAGTTCCTCCGCTTCACTATCGTCACTCTCTCCTCCTTCCTGATGCTCCACCTGTTGCTTCGCTCGCGACATCTTCTTGAGATCATGCCGCAACTGTCTCGGTGCTACCTATCAACAAACCCACGATGGCGCTCTATATGGCGAACATGTCAACCTCACCACATGCTGGGAGATCTCAGCCATCGTTTCCGGTTTGATAACAGTCGTACTCCCAGCCATCTTGGGCTGCTGGGAAGGACGGAACGACCCTGCGGATTTGAGGAACCAATATAGTAAACGAAGGCAACAGACATCGAACGCATGCAGAAGCTGTCTACAGCCAAGACGAACATTAACCTACTAAGCTGCGCTATCATGTCGAGCTTTTCCTTAACATCCTCAACACTCTGGGAACCTGGCCGAGACCATCATGCCCCATACACTACATATCACTTGAGTTACCAAGGTCAGCCGCTGTTCTGAAAGCTGGGTGTGGCGTATCCAAGAGCCTCTGAGGTCCTCCCGCCTCAGCTCTGAGTATCAGCTTCGCCCGCCTTACCTAAAGATCGAGGTGACCAATCGATACAGGCTACAGACACAATATTACACTCTGGTTCGATGCTGCTGGACGGGTCTTATAGTACAAGTGATAAGCACTCATCATCGACCTCTGCAAAGAAGCCAGTTCAGCATCTCCTGATACGAGTCTGCGAACCTATGGAAAAATACCATGACCGGGAATCGAGCCTCGGACCT